ACACCTTATGTTCGAAAGAAAATCCAATATTGCTTTTATGTGACAACCATGAAAGTCACATTTCTATTGATGCAATCAACTACTGCCGTGACAATGGGATTGTGTACCTTTCCTTTCCACTTCACACGACTCACCGCCTTCAACCATTAGATAAATAAATAAATAATAATAAATAATAAAGTTTATTGTGTCAAATACTTAGTACATAGATAGTTGTGTTCAGAATTTTCTTTTAAGCAAATAATGCTTGTAGTAGTTAAATTCCGCTCCTCCACATATTACATAGCATGATTTTTAACACAATAATTTAAGATATTAAGGAAAACTATTTGGAAACATTATTTCAAATACAAAGTAATACAAATTATTTGTACTTAGAAATGGTTGTGTGCGTGTGTGTGTGTGTGTGTGTGTGTGTGTGCGCGTGTGCGCGTCTGTGTGTGTGTATGCATGTGTGTGTGTGTGTCTCATTCTGTATGTTGTAACAAAGCCTCTGTGTCCTCGTATGTGAGTGGTTTTATCCACTTTACTAGTGTTTTTTTGCAATCATAATATTTTTTGTGTGTATGTTTATCTCTTTATTTATTCTATTATATAATTGAGCTGATCGTTTAATATATTGTATAGATCCAAATTTGGTCTTTGTTGACGGTATATCCGCTATATTGTACTTTCTTCTCTTGCAATTTATTCCCACTTTGAAAGGCAAAGACTTATGCTTTTTTAACACCGTTTGAATTATATACAACTTTCTGACAGAAAGTACATCACTAATTTGATACAGACTTACAGTAGGAAATCTATGTTTTTTAAAATTCATAATCTTTAGAAGTGCGCGTTGTGCTCGTTCTAGATTCATGAATTTAGTCTTGGCTGCCCCTCCCCAAGCCGGAATACAATATACGAGCACAGGTTGCACCAACGCAAGGTAAATTTGAGTAAGTAGATTTCTAGAGGGGCTTTTGTCATTAACTTTTACCATTGATGCGACATGTCTTAGGTTTTTGAATAACCAGCTGAGCTTTCTAATTCTGGCAGTAACTTGCTCCACGTGAGGATACCAGGATAGTCTATTATCCACTATTACACCCAAGTATGTTACTTCATTTACCCTGCGAATTTTTGGACAGTTGCAATTGCTGTCGCTGTTACCGTTACATGTGTGTATAACGATATTAAAATCATCATTTGGTTCATTGCGCTTGGAGATACTGAAGCATATAAAACTAGTTTTCGAAGTATGTAATGTCAGGAGGCTGGACTTCAGCCATTCAGCAACATGAGTCATACCTGCCTCAGTATAATGTTTGACCTCAAGCCAAGAGCTGCCATAGAAGGCAACTGCTGTATCGTCGGCGTAGGAAAAAACTTTAGCATTAGGTATTTTCATATTACATAGGTCGTTAATGTATATTAAAAAGAGCGTTGGGCCCAACACGCTTCCCTGAGGAACGCCATATATAACTGCCGCGTTATCACTGATGTGCTGGCCAACTTTCACTCTCTGCTTCCTATTTGAGAGGTAGTCCTTGAGGAGGTCAAGAGCCCTTTCCCTAACGCCAATTCTTTCCAGTTTGTTCACAAGGATAGAGGTAGAAACAGTATCAAACGCCTTTTTGAGGTCTAGAAAGACAGTAAGGCATTTTTCTCCATTATCAAGATGTTTGGTTATTAAAGAGGATAGAGCACCAACAGCATCTCCCGTAGATATATTTCTTCTGAAGCCGTATTGTGAGTCGGATAATATATTAAATTTATTTAAATAATTAAGAAGTCTAGTATTTATTAATTTTTCAATAATTTTTGATATAGAAGTTAAAACTGAAATTGGTCTATAATTATTTATATCGTCAGTATCTCCACTCTTATACACTGGCGTAATGATAGCTTCTTTTAACGGGGCCGGGAAAATTCCCCTCGTAAATCAGAGATTTGTAAGGTGTGTTATGATGGGGATCACTACCATGCTGGTATATTTTAAAAACTTTGTACAGATATCATCCCAGCCAGAAGCACTCTTGGACTTCAGATTTGTTAGAGCTTTATATACCTCATCACAATCAGCTTCGAGAAGCACAAAAGAGTTGACTTGTGTGGGTGCATTACTTGGTATAGTACGGTGATACGAATTTCTACATTGAATTTGTTGGGCTAGCTCGTAACCTATATTAGTAAAATTCTTATTGATATAATTTACGGATTCATAAGGTGATGACTTTAGGTTTAGCAGTTCTATAGTTTCTTTATTTGTTTTATCAGCGTAGGTTATAGATTTAATGTTTTTCCACAGTTGTTTAGAATTTTTTATTGAGTTTGAAAGCAGTTCTTTTTCATATGTCCTTTTTAATTTTTTTAACAAATTGTTACAATAATTTCTGTATCGGGTGTAAGTTATTTGGGTCATGACGAAGCCTTCTTTGAAGTCTATTACGATGCTGAATACAGCGCAAAATTCCTTTAGTGATCCATGGTTTAATAATGCGTCTGCTGCTAGGAATATTAATTGTGATAATGTTAGCGTTAATAGCATCGGTAAGAGATTGCAACAAGAGTTTACATAGATAGTCGGGGTCATTACAAAATAGCAAATCGCTTTTTACTTTTCTTGTAAATGTGTTAAGGCCTGTTCGTAGTCAAGTGTGGTAGTTGTTTTAGGTATAGCTTGTATATATTTTTGCTTTGACAATGCTAAAAGCGTTGTGAAGTGGTCTGTGATGGTTGAATGCAGAATAAAAATAGTGGCGGAAGTCTTATTCTTTTTTATTTTCAGCATGAAGTGATCCAGACAGGTTTTATCTCTAGTCGGCAATAAATGCCCAGGCAGGATACCATGAAGGGACAGCATGTTAAGGTAGTTTGTTCTATTTTTTTGTTCGAAAGACTGCTCAGTCAATTCCGTTATAATATTAATATTTATGTCACCTGTGATAACAATACTTTTATGTGATGGTATACGTGTATACGTGTCAAGATGAGTACTGAGTGAGTCTATGAAGCTGTCAGTGTTAGTATTTGACGGTGATCGATACATACATAAGATAATGTTATTTAATACGTCTAGCTGAAGGCAAGATGCTTGTGTTAGTGGTATTTCCTTAACCCGGGGTTTAAGTGTACTTTTGACATAAACTACAACTCGATCATTTTGGTTCAGCTGCCGTTTAGTTTTGTATGATAGGTAGTTACTTAGATGGGGAATAGGTTTATTTGTGGTTAACCTACACTCCGTCAAGACAATGATATCTACTTCAAATGTAATTGTGGATAACATCAATAGGAAATCATCAAAGTTACAATATATGCTTCTTATATTTTGAGATAGAATGGTTAAGTCTTTTTTATTAATATTAATGTACTTATTGAGCTCCAAACAGTCACATTCAATAGCTCGTGCTATCTCAAAATTGTCTATCTCAGTAATGGTTTGTAATGAATCACTCATGTTGTGGACATGCCAGAGTACAACGTCATATCGAAGTGCAAGTGTCCAATGTATTTAACCATGCTATACTTGCGATTATAAGATGTAGCATAATAAATTATACAATCTGTGAAAACAAGTGCTAGTATTCTTATTATGTACATAGTGTAGCGTAGAATATATAATGTGTGGATGTGGATGTGCGTGTGATTTGTGTACGATTGTGTCAAAATTGAGAGTAGGTTGTATGGATTTTTGTTGTGTGTGTATGTGTGCATGTATGAGTTGTGTGTGAGAGTGAGATATAAAGATATTACACAATAATGTACCAAGCCTATTTCTAACTGTGCAAATTACCGTAGCAATCAGCGTGTAAACAATAAGGAAGTAAATAGACAGGCGCCCTATACAAAATAAACAGTGAAACATTATTATGATACAGGATAATACTTGTGTGCTTGCATTTGCCAGCTCATGAAAAGAGTAACAATAATAGCAGTAACTTACAAATAGTCATTTAGCTAGTGTTAGCTTGTGTACTTGCTCCTCATTTCTAATAGTGATAGTTGGCGCTTGATCATCCTTCATGACATAAACGTTACCATACGACGTCCAGCAATACTTGTGGGATCCTGATTTAACTAAGTCACGAGCCAGGAAGTGTAAACGGGAACCCTTTGCTGTTAGATGCTCCGAGAGGAATATGGGGTCATCCACTTGCGTTTTAAAGCCAAGATGTTTGCAACATAGTTTAGCTTTGTGTTTTATATTAAAAGCTTTTGCTGTCTTCATGATTTCAGTTTTTAAAAGAGTTGAACCTGTTTCCACAACTATAGGGGATTTTTTCAGTTCCAAGTTCCTACCGCGCACCCTGTAAATGTCCTTAATATCGTGTTTGTTAATATTACAGCCAATTGTTTGGGATAAGAACAAAGTCATTTCTATAAGATCTTCTTTAGTTTCATTATTTCTTTTCGGAACATTTTGTATAACAAAATTAGCTTTTCTACTTCCAATCAGCATCTCCTCCATTTTATTCTCTAATATTACTATATATTTTTTATCTTCCTTGGCCTGATTCTCCAACTGGATAATTTTCTGTTTATATTCCTCATTTTGTGCCGTAAGAAATGCGATCGAATTTTCTATGCTGCTGTTGGAATATTGAATTTCCTTCAGTGTTGTAGTGATTTTTATCATTTCAGTGCTTTGGTTTGCTGTGAAAAGTGACATCATCTTCTTCATTTCTTCTTTAAATTCATTTAATTGCTCAATAAGGCAGTCTTCCGTATTCTCTCTGCTCCTCTTTACTCTCTGAAATACATAGCTTGGAGGTGTCTTATTTCCACTGCCCACTCGATTAACATCAGTATCCGACACAGATTTGTTTAAATGCGAGGCCATAGTATAAGGAGGGTAGTATGTATAAAGGAGAAGTGGTAGGCGTCTGCGCTAGCGCCGGGGGTGTGGTCTTGTTGGATGAATCACGGGGGCGTTGTTTCGCACGCAGGGGGGTGTGGTCAACGTTGTGGTAGTATTCCAATCGAGTGGTAGAAGGGTGTTCCGAGCCTAAGTGTCCATGATGGTATCGGACAAATGTGAGGGTAATATTATAAGATGTCTTACTTGTGGAGTAAGCGGCGGGAGTCACGTAGCTCGTAGCGATGTGAAGTACCAGGCGTTCATGCAGACAGGAGTTAAGCGTGGCGCCGTATTGTACCGGTTATTAAACTCCTCAACATCTATGCACTCCTATTTTTTTGTACGGATTTAATTTTGATAAGTATCGTTTTTAAATTAAATACAGCGATATGATACAGTTCAGAGCACGTCAACACCTGCCGGTGGTCCAAAGGGAAGAGGAGGATTAGATGTTGGAGTATTTTAGCCATTAAAGTCGAAATTAAAAATGGTATTCAATGACTGGCACGTTTCCAATCTAGGAAAAACACTTAATATTTAAAATATCCCAAAACTCACGAAGATACCTTATTTGGAGTCATTCAATGGGAAGAATATAACCAGTGCTTATAAAAAAAACGGAATATGGCTTTTCAAAAAGTTGATTTTCAATGATGATGGCTTGTGTCATATGAGGTGTCATTCTATCCGGTAACAAATCCTAATGAAAGCACAGGTGGTGAGGAGCTTGGAATACCTGGTGATGAGCTTGCTACAGTTAGCTGTAAACTTGGTAATGTTCCTGCTTGAACACCACCGAATTCATACAGAGATATCTCGCCGTCACTGCTTTCACAACATCTTGCATCAAGAGTGATAGGTTTTGGTAACCCTGCACCATTTCCTTCCAAAGTATTGAAGACGCCTTTCCCAAAAGTTCAAAAACGCACACAAACAAGAAAAGGTCGATCACTTGGAAAATCAACAATTTATACGGCGTGTGCCTTAGAAGACTAGAATTGAAGAATTGGAAAAAATCAAAGAGATAAAGAGATTAGAAAAAGAACGGAAACGTAAAGCAAGAGAAATGAAGAGAGCGTTGAGTTTATTAAATTAAGATTATGACAGATCAGGTAAACCAAAAGAGAATAAAACCAAAGAGATTAAAACAATTAGTAGCTACAGTGAAACAGATATCAGCCTAAGAGAAAGTTCTGCTTCACCTTTCGACGTGTTTGAAGAAAACGAAGAAGAAGATGCTCATGAAGAGCCTGTTGACCCTGAAAATGTCAAGGATGGTGCTTATGTGCTTGTAAATTTAAAAAAAATAAGTCTGTGATCTATTATGTCGGACAAATAATCAAACACTATAGTTTAACAGTAATGTAAGAAATGGTTTCATTTTTAAAGAAGAAACCAGGATCGTCTATGAAATTTGTATTTCCAGACGTCAAATAATGATAATGATAATAATGATATTGTACCACATTCACTCAACGCCATCTAGTCCCAAACTAAGCAGAGCTTGTACTATGGGTACTAGACAACTGATATAAATACATATATACTTTTTTTTTTGTAAATACATAATTATTATACATAGAAACACCCAGACCAAATCAAACATTAAATTGGAATAGCAGTCCGCTACACAAACCACTACGCCATTCGGTCGTCAAAGACGAAGGATCAGTAGATCTATCAGATATAGTTTTGGTATTACCGGATCTTAAATCAATTAAGACAGCTAGCTATCAATTAAAAACGAAATATAAAACTGTATGAGACTGCCCCACCTTACCCTACGTGAGCTGTTCTTGTTTGCGTCGTTATGATATAGGCAAGACAGTAAGTAATACAAACACTTCAGTGCCTAGCACTTGTGTTTCGCGTTTGCCCAACTTTGTACTTAACTTACTTGTTTTTTTTTTTTTAATATGTGGTAATAATATTGCATGCATTCAGACTGTGTACACTACCAGGAGTAATTAATGTAAGGTAAAGTATTTTAACTGTGAAAAGATGTGTAATTTTATTTTACTGTCATTGCTAAGTATTTAATGGTACTACGGAGTAAATATAGAAACTGCCGAATAGAGAATGGTGGAAGTCAATAGGAGAAGCTTGTATTAAAATGGGTTCTAACTTCTTCTTAACTTCTAACACGGAGCAAATACAAAGTTGCTCCGTGGTTCTAAACAGTAATTATAATTACTGAATTATTATTGAATGAACTTTAGAACTCAGTAAAATTTGTTAATAATATGTTAATTACTACAAATCTAGTAGGGTATTAATCTTCTACCTCCTTCAAATCTGAAAACAATTATATGCCCAAGGAGAGTTTTCAGCCAATGTTGTGGAGCCAATGTTGTTTGTTACTTTCATTTCCAGATGACCCAAGTATACGACCGGGATGTGGAAGCCATCAAACAATGGCTGGCAAAGGAGCAGTATTTGCCTAAAACCTTCGGTAATTATACAAATTTCAACATCCAAAAATTAATCAATAATATTGTTCTTAGAAACAAATTTGACAGATTATTTAAAATTTCATGTTTTTCGCCGGGTCAGCTAGTCTAAAATATAAATAAATTGCATATTTATTTTTATTTTAGATTTAGACTAGCTAAAACCCGCTGTGTTACCCGCGTTTGTTGTTATAACCGCGGGCAACGCCGCGGGGCGAAGCTAGTCTAAAAAAGTAGCCTAAGTTACTCCTTATGTCATCAGCTATCTGCCAGTGAAAGTCCCGTCGAAATCGGTCCAGCCGTTCTAGAGATTACCCGGAACAAACATACATATGCATTTAGTAAAAAGCTGTTAGAATAGAATAGAATAGAATATATTTTTTTGCATTGATTGTAGGTACATAAAATAGTGATGTTAAAAAGTTTTCTAATCCTTATACAATCTACCTATGCAATGGGAGAGGCCTATGTCCAGCAGTGGACTGCGATAGGCTGATGATGATACAATCTACCTGGACTAGGCATGCAAACATTAAAAATGCATCAAAAATTAACAATAAATTCAAAACAACAAATAAATTTTTGAATGATTACAACTTATAATATTAATATAAATAAAGTGGTCAAAATAATTACGTCAACAATATTGATTGAAAGAAGGAAAATAAATTCAATGTCAAATAAACATCATCGTCATCTAAAGTTTATCATTTAAAAAATCATTAATTGAATAATAACACTTATTTAGCAGAAGTGTAGTCAGTTGGTTCTTGAATGTTTCTAATGTTTCATTTTTTATAACATTGGGTATTTTGTTATAAATAACAGGAGCCATGCCGAAAACATTTTTCTTCAGTAACGCAGCATTATAACCACCAACTTGCAAACATATTTTTATATTGACTTCTTATCGATCCTCTCCCTGTTTCTGATATACTTACATGTAAAATAATTTAAATTAACCTTTACGAAGACTGCAACTCCAAAAATATACATACACGGAAATGTCAACAACTTTAGGGATTCAAACATTGGCACACAACTGGTTATTTTAATATTACAAACAGACACTCCAATTTTATTTATTTGTATTTTTTATTTTTAGATTTTTAATAAATTGCATATTTATTTATATTTTAAACTAGCTGACCCGGCGAACTCCGTACCGCCATATTTCTGTTTCCGTGAGTATTTACAAAATTCCTGAAATACTTGTTTTACTATTTATGCACGCCTCGGCATCACACGAGTCGTGTATATACAGTCGCGGATTAAGGATATGTCACACTTGGATTATCAATAATTCCACATTAGAGTATCGTAAGTTATTAACCCGTCAAATTAAAAGTACAGGTTACGTTACGTTTAACAGGTTACGTGACAAAAAATGAGACAAAATCTTACGTTTACAATACGACCATATAATGAAATAAAATTATTAAAAAAAATCGACGGCATTAACCTATTGTAATACCTTGTAACGTACAATATTTTTCGTTTTCCTTTCTGGAGAGAAAACAAATAGTACCGATGGTTTATTTAATTAATTAAATAAACCATCGGTAATTCAATTATTAATTGGCATTGGTAATTCATCGGCAAGTAATTCAAGGTTTATTCCACACGCTACTAATGATTGGCCTTGGCATTTATTAATAGTCATTGCGAATGGAAGGCGCCACTGCAACTGATTATGCTCATGCAAGAGTTGTTGTAGCTGTATGATGATCTCTATTTTACCTGACCAATTCATAGCACAGCATTGGTTTACTTCAGCTGCAGTATTATGTTATTAAGTTTATGTTACAATAGATTTGTATAATGGGTATCACTTAGTAAAAAAACATTAAAATTTAGATTGAAACTACGTTCTTGAATTTTATTTGCACCAAATGATGTCATTTAATAACAATAAATAACACGACGGTAAACCTCTAAACACACACAAAACACCGTTTTACCGGTAAATATAATCAAAATACATAGATACATAGATAGATGTACATAGATCCGTACGGTCCGACGGTAGTAAATAAAGGCAACAGTAAATACAATTAAAGATATATTGTATTCCAAGGTCTTACCAACAGTCGTATATAGATCCGTAGGGTAGTACATAAAGACAACAGTAAACAGAGTTAAAGATGTGTTCTAAGGTCTTACTAAAGAACATATTGCTTGTGCACGTGTTTATACGTTGGCAGGTTAAGTGTTGTATTTTCTTGGTGTTTTAGATAATATAATTCTTCAGGTTATTTCATAATACTTATTATTAAAACTTCAATTATAATCAATGAGAATGTAATTTAAGTCAAACAAATTTATTTTTATTACGTAAGGTGCTTTGTAGTGGTTTGTAGTTACTCGGCCGATATACTCGTATATAAAGTGAATGTCATCATACTGCCAATTTTTACAGTAATGTTTTGTCAATATATTGAAGATCTCTCACACTCATCTGTCTCACCCATTTTTTCAAATAAAGAGATTTTTTAAATTTATTTTCTTTTATACAAACCTTGTCCAGATAATAATGTACACACAAAAAATAATTATCTAATTTGGTGCAGGCTTTCAGAATTTATGCGCGTACATTCATTTTACATTTACTGCCTATACGGCGATCCGTACAGGCAGTAAATAATAACAATAGTAAATACAATCAAAATGTATTAAAAGTTCTTTCCAAGAGTTGTTCATAGATCCATACGGTCGGACGGCAGTAAATAAAGACAACAATAAAGAAAATTATAAAGTCGTACATAGATCCGTACGGTAGTAAACAAAAACAACAGTAAATGCATTTAAAGATATATTCCAAGGTCTTACTAACACTCGTACATAGATCCGTACAGCCCTCTTCTGAAAGAGGTGGATGTTCCTCGGGAACGTGCGAGGTTAGCTGACGCCATAAGCGACACCCCTGGCGCCTTCTTACCGGTGGGCTGTGCGATCACCGGTGTCGGTAGTGCTTGTCTGCGGTGACAATAGTGGCTAGAATGCCCAAATTTCTAGTCGAGTACGTCGAGTACGACGAGTCGGTACTCCTGGTCGTCTTTCGGGGTGAAGCGTATGCCCCTACCAAAGGGGCGGGCGTTGGCCGTCCTGCTAAGCCTCTGCTTCCACTCCCGCATGTGGGTCACCCAGTTTGGCAGGTACTCCACGATGAGCGGCGGGTAGCGGCGTTTAGCACTGTTGTAATACTTGCCACTGCATTTGTGGGTGCACGTCGACTGCGAAAACGGACTGCGAACACTCGGCCGGGTGCAAGGGTACAGGTTCCGTGCAGTTTGCAATATCCTTCTACGATTTTCGGAGGTGTCTTCGTAGTTCCCGAAGCGGTTGCATCGGCGACGTGCAGGCGAACTAACGGGACTAACATAATAAATTCTTTGAAAATCTTTTATCCTACAGCGAACATAATTTTTTCCTTTGATTTTTTTAGTTACGCACCGCATTTGTTTTATAGTTGTATTATGTAGTATGTTTTCTAGATAAAAGTATTTTTTACAAAGCTGCATAATGTTTCCTTTATTTTATCAATTTGTTTTCTAAATTGGTTTTTGTATTGTTTTATTTAATTATTTGATAATTATAACTGTATGTATGGCCATGCCATTTAAATTAAATAAATAAAAAGAAAATAAAGAATTATTATAGTCTACTAGCTGTAGAACTTTAGTATGTTATATTATTATGTAACTTTTAACGTGTTTAATGCATGAAATAATTATCTTATACTTATTAACCTACCCTTATTTTCGAGAGAAATTAGAACCGAATTTTCTTGTAACTATTAACATACTTGTACTTTATTGCATTTGTAATTATTTAATCCCTATGACATTTTCCGTGTTAACAAATTTAGACACAAGCAATAAATCCAATTTGTAGCGGATGCGCATTCCTTGAATACGAATATCATTTTCAGATATAAGACATTAGTGTTAAATTGCTTGGCGTTTAATTGTGATATTGCTTTTCGCATTACCTCCGATAACTGATCCGTGATTTCTGATTTGAAAGGCTGTTCGACTGACTGAATTCGTATATTGTTTACGCACTATTGCGATCTCTGATTCTAATCCAAGCAATTCGTCGTTCGAGCGTTGATCATGAGTCCTTTCGATCGGCGTCAACTTTTATCTATGCTATTGTACGTATGAACGACACAGTTGAATGTATAGTATGGCTACTTTGATCCGTCAATAATCTTGTCCGGAATGGAGATTCACGGATAACGGAAAGAAATCGGATGACGGAAGTCGGATCTAGTGCCTAAGCTACCTTAGAAATAGTTCTACAACTACTTTGGACTAAACTACTTATATAGCGTAATGTAATGCGAAACCGCTCTTACGCCTTCCATCAGTTGTAGGTTTGAGTGTGCCTTTCACACTCAAACCTACAACTGATGGAAACAAATAAATGGATCTGGAATGGATCTAATGGATCACAAATAAATAGGGTATCAATGCAACGGGATTCCTCATATATTTACTGGCTTCAAATAATTAAAGTAGGTAGTAAAAGAAACGTATCTTAATGTTTTAATTTAGTTACACTACATACTGTATTGATCAAGCATAACAAAGTCACATATAAAAACACCTTAAAAGCGATGTCAAATTATTCATTACAGATGATGAGATGATTAAAAAGTTTCTGTTCAGTTGCTACAGCAGTTTAGAAATGACCAAGAAATGCATTAATGAATTTTGTACCAGACGAGCAAATATGCCTGAAATATTTACTAAAAGAGACCCGATGTCAAAGGAAATTCAAAAATACTATTCAATAACGTAAGTATTAATTAACCAAATCAGAAGTACCAGTTAATTTCAACTTTTCTCACGTAGCTCAAAACTTTATTGATTTTTTTTGCGCTTCATCAGCATGCGGCAATGAATATATGTATGTACAACGTAATAGATCAAAAAGTCACAACATCCCACATAAAATTTTAGTTTTGTAAATAAGCAATTTGTAATAAGTATCTGCAAAGTAATTCAACTGGGTAATCCATACCCAAACGAGGATCAACCACTTCGCCGGAGGATGGTCCTCTTATAAGGGCATGAAGACAGAAAAATAGAACCATTAAAAATAGAAAGTAATTTTAGTGTAAAGATAAAAATGCCAAAAAAAACTAAAGTTGAATTTAATTTACAGAGCGGTGACAAAATATACGGATGGAAAGAACGAAATACTGATTTATCTGTTGAAGGATGTTCCGGACGATTTTGATCACTATCAGTGCTCGAAAACCTTGACAACTCAGATCGACAATTGGCTCAAGTATAAGTACGATGTTCTACCAGAACACCATATCGTCGTATTGGACATGCAACATTACACACTCAAGCTTATGACAAAAATTAAGATGTTGCATTTGAAAATGCTTATTGGCTATTTATTGGTAAGTCATATACATAGCCTAAAACAGGACAACTTTAAGGCTATGTGCCTTAAAGTTGTCCTGTTAAATAAAGGTACTTCCTAATGGATACCATGAACGATTGAGAATTTAGATAAACCAGTTTAAATTACGTTCCGAAATAGTGCAAGCAAAATAAAACATATGTAATAACTTGTTTTAATCTTCATATGTTTGTGTTTGATCGAAAATAGCTAAAATACAATTTAACTAGTTTTGGACCCACAAGAGCATCCTTATTTATATAAATGCGAACGTTGACGTAACATTAAATTTTTAATCCTGACCCAGACTCATAGCTGTCGATTCTGAAGTAATAAATTATTTCGAATAAAATGGGTAGAGGAGGTGGTCACTTAATAGGTATTAATTGATTGTCAAAACTTGATGTGAGCAAAGCCCCGGGCAAAGGTCTTCTTTTTTTTTGATAATTGATATATTAATTATAATTACTACTACACCTACCTACAAAGCGAAGCCGTACCATATGGTTATTTTTTAACTTCTTCTTGTGGTGATGTTTGATTAAAGCGGTACATGTTCAGAGTAGAGCAGACACAGCAGGGTCACCTGATGCAAAGTGACTACCGCCGCCTGTGGACGCCTGCAACTGTCACAAGTGCATTGCCGGCCTTTGAGAAAGGCGTACGCTCTTTTCTTGAAGGTCGTATCGGTCCGGGAATACCGCAGACGATAATTTGTTCCACGGATTGGTTGTGCGAGGCAAAAAGTGTCTTGAAAGGCTCACAGCTGTGGAGTGCCAATTATCCAAGTGATGAGGATGAAAAATTTGTCCGGTCAAACAATGGCCGAAAGTTGCGGCTGGTACTTATTGTCCGAATAATTCCTTGGAGCACTCTCTATGATATATACGATAAAGAATGCAGAGTGAAACTACATCTCCTCTACTTACGTAGCGTGGCGTGTCGTTACCGCCAAGGGCTCGAGCTGATAGGAGATTTTTTTCCTTTCGACGATTCTTTGGATGAGCTGGTACTGGAGTGCCCCTGCATAGAGATGAGAATAGTATTCCATATGCGGACGACTTGCGTCTTATACAGTTAAAGGCGGTGGGCCGGAGTGAAATACTGACTCGATCTGTTCAGCACACGAGCTTCTTTGAGGCTAATTTACCTTAGGGTATACCTGGTTCCCTGGCTACTGGTACCCGAGACAGCGTGCGGTTTTTAGTCGGTTCGAGTCCGACATAGCCAAAGGCGGGTGGTATCCGAGGGGATTTCCGCACAGAAAAAAACAACAGGCTAATTTACCTCTAAGTAGTGAGGTCACTTACAGTTTCAGTTACCCTGAAACTGGACTTCTGAAAAATAAAATGGTATGCCTGTTATGACGAAAAGAGCAGATCGGGGAACATGAAAATGTTAGAGACAAATAGAGTGCTAATAGCAAATACTAATTTGTTGTTGTCCTATGGACAAGATCGCCAAGATCTCCTGGGTGCTATCCAGGAGCTAGTAGGGGCAGATGAGTACGTTATTTGATTCGACTCGAACATAGTTACCTACTTCATGGTTGCTAGTTCAAACTGGCATCCGAATATTCGTAAAATATAAAAATGTAATGACGCGTGTCTCTTTTTCTGTGATTGAACTGACTGAGTGATTTTCTGTGATTGTGAATTGCAGCAAATATAAATGAAAACTATATATTCCAGGAGGGTGTGCCTATACGATTGAAACAAGTCCACTTTATCAACTGCCCACCATTTTATGAATACATATACAACCTAGTGAAGCCAGCATTTCCAGAATACCTTTGCAATTTGGTAAATATTCTATCAATTTTATAAATTTTTAGCTTGCAAAATTTTAGATTAGGTTTTTATTTACAGTGTATATTTTCGTAAATTAAATAGGTATATTGAAGTAAAATCAATAGATACATCATCATAATCGGTTAGAAATTGATAAATCTTTTTACAGCAATACTCAAATGCATGTTATTGTTTTCGAGTAAGGATGTCTTTTTATTCTCAGAGTTAAGGTAATACTCGTATATTGTAGGTACCCTATTTCCACAGATATAATTATATTGTATTAAAAGTAAACTTCTCCAAAGCAAATTTCTTAAAGAGTATGTTTTGTATTAATAGCATTATCCGTATTAATTAAATAAAAAACATTTACTTCGGCCAGGGACATTAAAATAATATTTATTCACATAAGCTGAAGCCTAAACAAAAAGCTTTAGAAAACTTCAGTCCAGAAAGCCTTATTTTGAAATGTTAAGATTGAAACATTAAATTTATAGTTTTTTTATGGTATAAGGGGACAAACTGGCACACAGGTCACCTGATGGTAAGCAACCACCGCCGCCCATGGACACCTGCAACTTAAAAGTCACAAGTGCGTTGCCGCCCTTGGAGTCCCTCCCGCTCGAGTCAGCGGGCTTGGTCACCGGTAACCTCACTCACTCAGTGACAAGCAACGAAAGAATTGCTTAACACCGGTTTTCTATGAGCCCGTGGTATCACTCCGGTCGAGCCGGCCCATTCGTGCCGAAGCATGGCTCTCCTACTCTCATAATAATACCTACGTATAAATTATATAAAAAAGTAACGTCTATTTTACAGATGCATTTCCACATCGACTACACAGGTTTATACAAGTTTGTAAATCAGGCGTCACTGCCTAAAGATTACGGTGGAGACGGCCAGAGTATGGATGAACAAAATGCATTTTGGATAAAAAATATTATTGAACAGAGGTAATTCAAATCAATTCGTAATATATAATAGTATAGGATGTAGATACACAATGCTGACTAAGTACATATTTACTCGTAGTATACATAGGCGCGAGCATTCGTCCGGACCAGCAACCGGACCGTTTCAACCATGAGTTTGGCCGTGTAAAATAAGTGCATATATTGCATTATTTTCTGCCAATGCAAGCGGCTACTCGGCAAAAGCTGGGGACTATCACCCAAAATTACTTTATGGCTATACAGGACAGTCATAAGACCAATAATCACTTACGGTGCTGTTGTCTGGTGGCAGAGAACAGAGCTAAGCACCGTCATAAACAAACTGCAGCAATTCCAGCGACTCCCATGCTTCGCGGTCACTGGCTGTATGCGCACAACGCCTACTGCCGCACTGGAGGTGGCTCTTGGTCTGCCACCCCTGGATCTATTCATACAGCAGGAGGCCGCCATGGCGATCATTAGACTCAAACACCTGGGTCTATGGCACAAAAGGGAGGGATCGCACTCTAAATTATGGGATCAATTGGTGGAATACGAACCACTGATAGCAGCTCCATGCGATAGAATCCCAAAACACCATATCTTCACAAGAAGATACTACATCCAGATACATGGAAATGACCGAGATCAATCCGGCATTAACGAAGTCCGAATTTACACGGACGGTTCCAAGACTAGGTCAGGAACTGGAGCCGGAGTTTTCTCGCAAGACCTAAATATAAACATATCACTAGCGTTAGGCCAACACAGCTCCATATTTCAATGTGAATGTGTGGCAATAACTTACGCCGCCACAACGGCCATGTCAAGGGGTATCAAGGACTACAACATCCGAATAATATCCGACAGCATGGCCGTCTTAAAGGCATTGGAGGGCAACACAATGACCTCTGGTGTTGTCTTCGAATGCCACCAAGCACTGGAACAGCTCGCTATATTCAATGGGGTACTCCTCCAATGGATTAAAGGGCACAGTAACTCACACGGGAACGATGCCGCAGATGAGTTGGCAAGGAGGGGCTCGGCAACCCCAACCTCTGGCCCAACCCCACTCCTGCCCATATCGTTTAACCAAATACGATGCTGGGTCAGGCAACGGACCTGTGAAGCACACAACCGGAGGTGGAAAAACTCACCCGGCTGCAGACAGTCCAAACTGGTGCTGAATCAAGTCACGCCACGACTCACCTGCAGACTGATCAGTCTTAGCAGACCGGAAATCAGAATGGTTGTCGGAACTATTACAGGACATCTAGCCCTGAACCGACAACTATTCATAGTCAATGCGACGGACAGCCCCCTGGGCCCCCTGGCCCAGGGGATGTCCGGAAGCTGAAGAAACGGCCGCCCTAGTAGTCCTGGAATGCGAGGGAGTGGCCACACAACGGGCAAATATCATTCCTGATATAAAGTCGCTCCTAGAAGCCTGAAGAAGGACGCCCCAGGAGGCTTCTGCGCTTCTGGAAGGAGCTTGGCTGGCTCACCTAGTCAACCAATCCCCGACGCATAAAGGACCACTCTGAGTCTAAATGCGGAAACCGAGGCCCACAACCAATACCAATACCAATAAGTGCATATATTATTTATAACTTATGTACCTATATATAAGAATTATATTTAACATAACATCAAGTAATCTTCACAAAGAGTTCATGTAATAAAAAGATTGGATAGAGTTTTCGTTTGTAAACAAAAACATTTTTTACTCAGTTGAATTCATAGGAAATATTTTTTATGTATGTTCCCTGATTACATGAAAATGGCTGGATCGATTTAGCAATTTGAACCTTATTTAATATTGACTTTCATCTCTGAAAGTATTAGGTATTCGGTAAAGTAAAACTGATGATTATGATAACAAGTGTCCTCCGAAATTCAGCAGCCACGGTTACTTATTATAGGTATATCACTGTGCAGTCAACAATGTTTTGTAGAAAGTAACAGTTTCACATGAGGTTAATATAACTTGTAAAAATTCCATCTCGAGGCTAAAGTATGAATGAAGAAAACAACTTATGATAATCATTATATAGGCACGTTGGAATCGGTTACACCTTTTAAAACGTAACTACTTATAAAGATTTCAGATAAGTATATGCGATCACAATATAATTACGACAAAATCAGGAATTGTATTTACTTTCCAGGGAATTCTACCTAGATGACAACCTTTGGAAAGCTGACCTCAGCCAGATAGTAAGGAAAGGCAACTCGGATACCTCTATGAGCGGGTCCTTTAAAACGTTAGAATTTGATTGAACGAAATCAACATAAAGCTACATATTGGTATCCGGACATTGGTTATAGTTTTGGTTAGACTTAAGGTAAGGCCATTTGTAGCTACCTAAAAACCCTAAACTAAAAGGAAACTGAATCCTTTCTGAGTGCTTCTGCATGTACATAAATTAAACTATCATACCATCTCCACACATTTCTACACTTTGTAATTTAGGATATTATTAGCACGAATGAACAGTTACTTTCTGAGTCACAGTCTCAACTAGTTCAGAAGGTACAGATATATTGCTAAAAATAGCCTGAAATGTATGAAATGGAAGCAAATTTAGTTAATAGGTACACTTAGGTCTAGATATGCATGTAATCTAGTGTAGTACTCCCTATGTGTCGATTGTTTAGGCTTATAACTACAATAAACGAATTTTGTTTTTTTTTTAATTTTGTTATATTTGCATGAGATTTTAAAATGTTTGTTTTAATAATAAAATCCCAGTTACGTCATTGTTTTGATTCGGTTACATGACCATAACCCTTTTGAGTTCCCCATTCTAATTTTGAATTAAAATTTTACTTAAAGTTGGTTCAATGGTTTCGAGAAAAACATTTCTTATAAAATACTTAAAAGAAATATATTATTTTTACTTTATTTCTTATATTTCATCCTATATTTACTCATTCATATGTACCTACCTTATACTAGGTATATTTCTTAAATTCTTCGGGCCACCCTGAAGAACACTTTCTTGCCTGCATCCACCGCTGGCAGCAGATGGATGCGGACTGCCCCAGACCGGGGTAGTTGGCGGTCTTTGGGGGGAGGCCTTCGTTCAGCTGTGGACTTTGAAAGGCTGATGATAATAATATAATTCTTTTCTGTTACTTCGAAAGAGATTATTGTAGGGTTAGCCAGCTGGAAGTCCGTCACAGACATGTAGTCACCAATCTGCAGTCAATGTTTCGGTCCAATTGTGACCAATTGAATGTGCCAGACCAGACCTTGTAAATGGTGCGCACGAATCTACGGCCAAAAACCTCAACCGCACCAATTAAATATTCGTTATAAAGGAGTTATTTCGTAAATATCTATAATTTGCGTTTATGACCACGTTTTCACTTTGTATTTTTTTAACTTATCAAGTCAGAGCGGTTGGTTTCTTACACTATTACATGAGAATTAGTTCTGGTTAAACTAGACGGTGCCTATATTTCCTATGACTGGCCTGGAAACACTAAACCAAACTTAAGGATCAAAGCCTACATATATTTTTTAACATTATCAGTTTTAAGCTGACTACACCCGGTAGAGCTCTATGACTCATCGCATCGCACCGCACTTTAAATATTCTTTTATAAGTTTTAAAAATATATTTTAATATATGTATCTAATGATTTGCTTGAATCCTTACTGAATTTCTGGTTTAAATTTTAAATTCCTCGAATGTATATACAACTTCAGAAAAAAAAGTAGTTCGGATGTTGTCAGTATTTGCACAACTAAATACTGTAAGTATGCTATGCGGTGAGTATGTTGTGTAGTATCATGGTATGCTACTGCAGAAAGGAAAATATAAATATTTCATTTTATAGTTCATAATCAATATCATAATCAACAGTCTTTAATAGTTCACTACTGGACATAGGCTTCTCCTTAGAAAGGTGGTTTTGGCGCACTATAACACACTGGCCAGACGGTTTGGTATTCTTTCATGTTTTCCTTCTCTTTCCAGTGTTGTTGTCCTGCGTAAGTAGCTCCCTTAGTCGGCTATTACGACACCCAAAGAATGAATAGGGGCGGTGACAGCCTCCTTATTGTTAATCCGTCACCAAACGGACAATTTTATAGTTAAGTATAATTAAAAAAAAATTAAATTGACAGCGTCAATTTTACGTATTATACACATTCTATAGGAATTAAATAAACACTAGTAAATCAACAAAATATTTATATTTATTTTCAGATCAATACTTACATTTTATTGTTGTCACTAACTAATGGAATGTCAACTTAAAGTTATAGTTATGTATAGTACACATACACACTATCACTCACCTACATAACTACACATACACACACATACATACACTTCACAAAAAAAAACAATATAAAGCATAGCTAATGATATCAATCAAAGTTACATTGTAATTTACCCTGAAAATAAAAATCAAAATATTTGAATAATGCTTATGATGGCTTCTAAAAACATTAAAATTTATTTAAAATTATAGACAAGCTTTTGTGTAAAAATATTTCGTCGTATTTTTTTCGGGAGGCTCTAATACGTGTTATTCTTCCTATCCAGGGCCGAAGTGTGGCGATAGGAAAACAACTATACACGGTGTAAGGGACATCGTACCGAATCCTGAAGTAGTGTGTTCAGACCATCATTCTGAGTCGAAAATCTTTGGAATTTAAACTTTTTATGCAATCAGCTGTCAAAGTTTAAGGCCCGTAGGTATCGTACAAAAGTAATAACTACATGTGTATTCCTCTCAAACAGTCTACGCACACTAACACAAACTGGCGGCCGGAGGGGAGGCCCCGCGCGTTTTGGCTGTTTGATTAATTACAGTTGCAGTTTTTTTGGTATTTATGAAATTTTTTTCGCTAAAATGTTCTGTCTATTCATTGTAGTATCATTTTTCATCATTTTTAATCAGAAATGGCAAATTAAATAAAATATTGATGAATTTTCCTGCAGAAAATTTCAATGATTTTCGACTAATCATGGTCTAAATACAATATTTCAGTATTCGGTACGATGTCCCTTACACCTTGTATAGTGTTTTGCTAATATACGATAAGACCAAGAAAAACGAACTAGGTAATTTGTTTTTGTTCCTTTAACTACATTAGTCTATATCCAGAGCTCTGAAAGAGGTTGTTTCTACCACGCCCTTGCCTTTCTTCTCTGATTTCCAGAAATTCTCGTGCAAGAAGGTTTTTCTGGAAGAAAAATATTATGTAGAAATATTAATAAACACGTATAAATATTATTGATGATAAGTAACATCTATATTAGGCAGCTAAATAAGAAGACTTTCCTGAACTAAAAATGGCGTAAAAATAATCGAAAGTTATGAAGAGCTTAAGTTTTATAATGTAATTCCATGAGCTAATGAACTGACCGAAAACTAGAAGTAAAACACAAAAGTTCCTAAGCATGTTCTTAATGTAATGTCTTGGTGACCTGTGCCATAAGTGTAGAGCTGGACTGCTGCATTAGGGATAGCGTGTTCTTGTCCTCTATGTTATGTCTCTACATTGTGTTATCTGGATTAGTCTGAGTGTTACTTTGTAATATATGGTTATATTTTAAATTGGTATAATAGATACCGTAAATCATGATCAAATATAAATGAAACGGTGTGCCAAAGATATAATATTTTCTTTCTGGAATTATCTGCATAAAAACATTCGTAATTTGTTTAGAAATATGTTTCCACTACTACTCAGTTTTACACAAAATTCCCAAAATTTAAATACACCTTTCTCTAACATTCTGTGTACAAAAAATTTCGTCTATATTTTAGAACCCTTATGGGTTGCACTGTATAGTTCGAGTATCCAATAATATGTTTCAGAATAGTATTATAATGCACTATCTAACAGTAAATTAATGTGTGCAAATTAAGTACACATCCTTTTAAAGTTTTTTTTTTGTTTAACTCACTTGTATTTCATCACAGTGTCTACAACTTTCTCCATCTGTTCATTCATACTTGGCCTAGTTCCGCCATAATCTTCTGGTAGGTCTTCTTTGCTAACATAATTGTATAGTGTTTGCGACTTCGGTGAGTGGAAATGGATCTGTAATTATTCATTTCATTTAATAATGTATTATCTTACACACGTATCACAGAAATGCTAGAATTCATATATTATTGGTGTCAAAATGAGAAATTATATATTCCCGGGATCTTTGGCAAGAGACTCTTTGCCTCACGCCGTCCTAATACCGCGGTCATAACTATTCAAGGTAATAAATATACATAAAAAAAGACTATTCTTGTATAAAATGCTAGTGTACTAAAAATATACAATTTAAAATAAAAACTACGCTAATTAATAACCCTGGACATAGGACCCTTGTTAATGATAAATGTAATATTTGTTTTCATACTTTTTTTAGTCGACTAACATAAATTAAATACGATAAGCGAAGACTGGACGAATGCTACTACAAAAAAAACTACTGCCAATTAGTACTAACCAATTCCGTCATCTTTGGTTTTAAAAAAGGTTTCATTAGCCCATATAGTTTGTCTATGAACGGTGGTGCGTTCACTATGTGCACTTCTTTCAATCTGATGGGCATCGCGTCCTGAAAAAGAGATATTATTTTTAAAACAGATATCATTATATCCAGTTGTTTGCAGCAAACTTTGAAAGTTTTTCTAATTGGTCAAACAGTTTCTTATATTAGTGTCTACTAAGGTTTTGTTTACAACGCAGCCTGCATGGATAAAATATCAGCTGAAATATATATTTTTTATTGTGACATTACATGCATCCGTTTGATGTTGTACTATGGTAACCAGACATAATAATTACACAATGATTTCTCTCAGCAATCAGAATCTACAACCACTAGAGCAATAGGCCAATGAATTGATCATATCTAGTTTTACTAGAAGATAAAGTTATTATCAAATTATTTTAATTGGACAATGCTTTGGACAAACTCTGTTATATATATATATTTTTAATGGTAATGGCGAACAAGAAGTTCTTAAGCTATTTCCTTACTTCTCCCTATAATATTACCTCTTGAAATTTCGACAGTTTCTTAGCAATTGATACATTGAACTTTGTGATAAACTTGAGTGTGATGTCTTTAACGTCCATGACCACGATGTCAGCATCTTCATAATGTTCATTACTCAAAATCCAGGCGTCCACCGTCATAAAGAACAGTCTAGCATCTTGCAAATAGTCGTAGTTATCCAATCCTGGATCGTTCAGTTGCCAAATCCAGATGTTTCTGTTTTTAGATATTTGGTACTGTGCCATGTTTCTGAAAAACATTATTTTTATTTATTAGAGATAAAAGAAAAACTTAAAAATGTTTATTTACCAATGTTGTTTGTTTCTCACGCGACACCGTTACGATGGGACGGACGGTAACTGGATCGTCTTTTGTACGTCTCACACATTGTATACACACTGTTTACCTTTTCATCAGTCTTTCACACTCGCAATGTGCTTACAGTATCACGTGAAAACAATACATCACGTATACAACATACATGGCATACTTTTAATAAAAGCAACAATGGATTCATTAATGCATAGAAGTATCTAATGAGGATTCTCCCTCATGCATTTACAATCCTCTAAACACCACCAACCGGTCAGCCTTTTTACATGGACCATCAAACGTAAATAAACCATTTGAAAGTAGTATAGCTTGAAACTATTTCCTAGGCGTGATAAAAAGGCGTTTTTTTTTAACCTCGTATTAGTTTCTTTTTATTTTCGAACGCTTTTAAGTATTTCTGTGTTGTCTGCATTTTGGGTATATTTCTTTTTGTATTTATCTGTATACAAATGCATATTTTACCGTGACAATGACACACTGGTATAAGTGGGTGGGGCATACCACGTGACTCAGGTTATTGACCCTGTCTGACATGATGTTGTTGACCGTATCTTAAAGGAGAGCACCGACATCTATATTCAATATTTAAAATTGATTGATTTCAATTTAGCACCTCAATAAGCTTAAAAGTGTTAAATTAATGTTTATAATTATTCTAATACATCTAAATCTGACTATATTCTTGTGGAAAATACATTTTTTGGCTCAGAATTTTAATCTTTTTTCCAAAATAAAAGTACCTGACTATATAAGGAATAACTTACTATATGGATTAGTTACTCCCTGAACTACTTTACCTACTATTTGTGTCAATTATTAAGATGTAAGGTTGCAATAAGTTCCATCACATATTGGCCTTAAGGGAAACGAACAGGCAGACCGAATAGCTAAACTATCAGCTGTAAATGGAAGCACTATAAATTATCTACCTGATGATTAGGAATTAGAGTCCAAATTAAAAAAACGCTATTAAGATAAGACTGGGTTACCCATTTTAACGATAGATCTAAGGAAAAAGGTATCTGGTACAAAACCATTCAGTCAATGCCTCGCATGGTTTGATGACGCTCGATTAAGCAGACACCATGTGAAACTAGCTCTTAGAATTAGATCTGGTTACTATCCAACAGCAAAATTTGCATATTTAAAGAAAAAACTGACTCACCTAACTCTGTTTGTAATAAAATAGAAGATGTGCAGCATTTGCTGATGGATTGTGGACAGTGTGACAGGAATAAAAATGAACGCGAGGCTTTGCTCAAGGAACTAAATATAAATTTATTGGATGTGGGTTTAATACAAAGCATAATGAGTTATCCAAGGTCAGAAGCAGCAAAAAATTGTGTCACCTGATTATAGTAGTTCAGCAATGATGTAATATACTAGACTGTTTTAACATCAATTCTTTGTGTTTATCATGTATCAAGGTACAATGGAGTTGGCACATCCTTACTGGATCAAAATCCCGAATCAAATAAAGATAAAAAAACACTTTGAAGGTATTTAGGCAAGATTTACAGTTCAGATAAAAGCTGAATGTTTAATTAATATTAATTATTTTCGCTGTGTTTTCTTTAAATTAATATGAAATGAATGTCTATTTAGTAAAGTGGCAAGCAAATACAGCTCGTTTCATGTCAAGCGGTATTTAATAAGTGCCTCTGTGCCTCTAAAGATGCGCAACACATTGGGTTCCCTTGTACGTACAAGGGACCCCAATGTCCCATGAAAAGTCATCCTATAGAAGCTATTTAATATTTATCAGACCTATATAATACGTAACCTCGTAAAATATACCTTATCCTACTAATTCAAGTAAGCGTTATACCCACATCTCTACTCTCATAAAAATTGTTTTCGTCATTACTATTTAGGAGAAAATTCTATACTTACATATATTATTGCCTGTGCACTGCACTAATCTGCTAATAGTAAACGTATATCAGTGAGATTAGCAGTGGAATTAATTAAGACACTTCTCGAGCCTTTTAAACACAAAATGGAATCCCTCCCTTTCATTTTAAAGTTTAACCTGTGTATCGTTATGCCTGTGTCTCTGTGCATATGTCTGTCTGTGTCCTGGCATCATAGCTTTAAAAAATAAATTGACATTTAAAAGGGGCCTTAAAAGGTCAACATATTTGCAAAAAAAAATGATTTAAGTGACCTGGTCGAGTGTTCTCAGCTATGCTTCAAGATAATCTGGTAAGCTGCTCAGGTAATCAGCTCTTTTAATCGTAATTTATATTAATATTGAACAGAGAATTAGCATTGCTATTTAATGTGAACATAATAATATAATAATAACTTCACACATCTCCCACACGGCCGTCTGGTCGCAAACTAGGCACAGCCTGTAACCAGACTGCTGATCAACATACATCCTTATATATTTCCAAATACATACATATGATAATAGATAAATTACACTCAGACACAGAAGTAAGGCTCACTAACCACTAGACTATGATGACCCTCAAGACAATGTTACTGAATAAAGCGAAAGCTAAATAACTTGGTAATAATTGTAAGTATGTACATACACGAACACCAGTTTTATTGGTTCAAAGTTATTGAATATTACGATTAGATTGCGGAAATATAAAGAATAAATATTGTGTAGAAGGTTTAAAGAGTTTTCCATCTTGCACCAGTCCAGTCCACCTGTGACCACGATCGGTTTTCTTCAAGAGAAATGTCTAACTAAGAGGTAACTTAGCTCTTAAATAATATCGCGATTAGGTGAATAAAATTGGTTCAAATTTAAAGAAAAAAAAACGTAATACACATATTTGTTAGATATATTGAACGCGGTCATGGCGGAAAAAATGTGATCTTTAAAACTACTTTAAGTACTTTGTGACAAATCAATAACAATTTAAATCTGTTTAAAGTTTTTTCTAATTCCATAGAGTACTTACTATTTTCTTTTTTGGCAATTTAATAAAAATAATTAATCGAAAACAAATTAAATCATATGTTCTGTCTCCTCTGCTAATTCTCATGAATATCTTAGATTCTTAGTAATCATAGGTTCTAAAGGAGCTCTCAATCTGATTAATTACTAAAAGCAAGTAATCGTTAAGTGAACTAGTAAATCATAAATATTGCCTCTCTTGATAGATAAATCTCTATAACTTGTCACACAATCTCATGCGATATTGAACAACTTCAGAAGGCAATCTATTATTAATAAAGTCGTCAAAATGTCGGCAAATGAAATCTTTTAGAAGGCTACCAAAAACAGAATAAAATAAACCTAATTTTTTCCTTATTGTTATTTTTTTTGTTGGAAACACAATAATAATATAATGGATCACCAAAAGTATTTTGGCCAATGCAATTATTTTCAGCAATAGATAAAAATATTTCTTAAAACCGGTTTGTAAAAGTTTTGAGAATTATGAAAACAATTAATTGACAATTGACTTGCCGGTTCGTCAAGAGGTTAGTGACCTTGACTGCTAAGCCCGGAGGTCGTTCGATTTCCACCCAGGATAACTAATTGTGTGATCATTTGTTCTGTGTCTGGGTGTAATTTTTCTATTATTAGAACAAATTTAGAAATTTATTAATATGTTTATCAGCGGTCTGGTTTTCATAGTACGGCTCTGGCTAGTTTGGGATTAGACTACCGTGATTGAGATGTGTGAAGTTACTATTTTTAATTTTAATAAATATGTTTTTAAAGAAAGGTATTTACATAGGTCTGTGTCTATTCCACATACTTTTTGTACACATGACACACAGAATGGTGACTACACCGAACAACAATACACAGAATGGTGAACACACATGAAGTGAGTGACAAGCACTCGTAGTAAATTTTGATTGCAATCACTTTCTCAGTAGCTCTTAAACGATTTGTAGACAGCCTAGCCTAACTTGAAACCGGTTGAATTTTTAGAATTTCCGTGTTGTACACCGGAGATATTCCATCCAAACCACATTTTATAACTCATTAAAATTTTACTTAATGATATAAGTCAATTACTGAACCGTAAGATTATCCTAAGGGATATTTAACAGATCAAGGTTATTTGTTGATTAACAAACCTATTATTCGCTTCACTGGTGACATTTTTAATCTTACTGTATCGTTTTATAGAATCGCAAACAATACGTTTGTTTTATTATCCATAAACTCACACAACCACAAACCTTCACAATCTAGAACATTCCAATGTATAAAAAATGTTGCTCAATAATAATAAATGCTAGGTTTAGTTCGGTAAGGCTAATCTGACCAAAATTCATGGAAAGTTAAGCTTGAATTCATAGCAAAATCCACAAAACAAAATTATTTTAAATGATATCATCAATACATAGTTAGTAAGGTCATAAAATCTGTCAAAATCTTTTAATGTAATTATTGATACACTTTTTGATAATCATTTTACAATTATATATGAAATGGAAGGTAATTAAATGTACAATACAATTTCATTTGAAATGCCGTCTCCATTTTGAATACATGCCCTTAATCGACGCGACCAGTTATCCATCGCAGCACGCAACACTTTCATATCTATTTCTGCCGCTGTTTCAACTAGAGATGCTCCGAGAGAACCCAAATTCTTGGTTTAGCGCAGACTTTCTCATCTAAATATTGCCATATCTTGTAGACCAGTATACTTAAATCTGGACTAGAAGAGGACTGAAGAAGTGACTGGCCCCACAGAAAACCGGTGTTAAGCTATTCATTCGTTGTTTTCTCCTGACTTTAGGTGAGAGACTCAGGAGCCGGCAACGCACATGTGATCCTTGAGTTGAGTTGTCCTTGGGCGGCGGTAGTCACTTGTCATCAAATGACCCGTCTGCTCGTTTGCCCGCTAATTCATTATTTTACGCATATAAGTGCACTTCCCGTGTGTAAAATAAAATAATAAAAATGACAGAAGCGCACGCTGGGCATATTTTAGGTAGCTACAACAATGACGAAGATATTTTAAAACCTCTAAATATATTAAACTCACACAATTTTTAACGCCTTCTGCATCTGTGGTGAGTCTGGATCTCTAAAGTTCACTATCTCTGGAGACGTAACTCTAATTCTGAAAAATAACTCCATAGCATTTTTTGCTGCATCCAAGTCGTAGAAGCAGCTGTGAAGAAACCTCTGTATTATCTTGTCATCTGTAATGTAAAACAGTAATCACTTTATTTTTCACTGTAACCGTGTTTAATGCGCATATGTAATAATTTTAAGTTTGTTTTGCTATAGGCCTTCTTATATATTTGTACTAGCTGACCCGGCAAACGTTGTTTTGCCATATACATTGTTTCTAGGAAATATTAAAAAAAAAATTTTTGGGTGGGACCTTGTCATTTAGTGGTATGAAAAATAGATGTTGGCCGATTCTCAGACCTACCCGATGTGCACACAAAATTTCATAAAAATCGGTCCAGCCGTTTCGGAGGAGTATGGTAATTAACATTGTGACACGAGAATTTTATATATAAGATAAGAGAATTAGACGAGAATTTAAATATGTTTAGGAAGACGCATTTGCAATTCTTTTAAATCTTTGTTATATGTATAACCTTAAAAGTTAACTTACTTGAAACGAATACATTAACTTTGTGACGGCAATTGATCCTTCAAGATACCCTTTACTTTGCAATACAAGTTTTGTCTTATTATGATAATTTGCTTACCTAACCCCCAACGAGGAATCCAAAAAGTTAGATTTTGGTAGCGATTAGGCTAGACAATTTACTTACTTTAGTGATATGTAAGTGGATGAATGTAGTTGGTTCTTTTAATCAAGTTCAAACAACATAGAAAACATGATAGTTGACTCGGTTTTAAATAAAAATCTCTGTTTAAACTTCAAAATCCAATTACTAACCAGTTCTGAACAAACTACTGTTAAGAAGTGGGTTTATCACATTTTTTGTATGCAAATCGTGGTTTTTTTTCAATTATGCATCGCGAGACAAGAATACATTGACGTCTAATTCAGAACTAGCACGTTGCCATATTAAAAAATGCGATTAATCTGACCTTAGAATAATAATATTCTGAATGTTTATTGCAAAATAATCAGGTGATGTAATGCGCATGATCGTTAGCAGTTACACTTATCTAAAAATTCCCATTGTGTTTTATAGGCTTGCAAGACTGACCCGTATCTACAAGAAGTTAAGTTGCATATTGCTTATACCCTGATATCAAAAGAGTTCCTGAACTACTTGTCAGAACAACAGACAGTTCTTTGTGCGCGTATTGACATTTACACAATGAAATTGTATAGGTGTCGATGTTTGCTGTTTACCTCCCAACAGAATACGAATTTACTGATTATTTACACATATAAAACCATACCATTTATCTTGTATAAATATTATTGAAAGAATCTACGACTTAATATTTTCGTACCGTAACCGTGAATAACCAGGCGTAAATAATATATTAAATATCCTCTGAACTAATTCCACGATCTCTTAATAAATTAAATAACACCTACACTGTCTGCAAGCATTCTCTAATTTATTTATATTATACACATTATGTACAGTTAGACTAACATACTTATATTAGCTTCGCTTAGCACTTAATAACTACGCACACAAGTCTCGAAAGTTACTTTTAACCACAGATTACCCCCTAAGTGGAAATGTGTGCTTTTAATCTACTTTATTGTCGTTCAAAATGCAACTTTTGTATGTTTATATGATGGCACGGATGACAATTAAACCTTTCCCTCATTCATGGCTTCATCATCAGATTAATGTTACCAAGCCTAATAAGTTGGTCTCGTAGACAGGCTTTTTTTTTAAATACAAAAGAAAATTATAAGCATTTTTTTAAACTATTTCAAAAAAGCTAGAGCATTTCAAGTCATTTGTATTTTTTTTCTTTATTACCTCAGAAAGCCGTATTCCCGTTCGTTTCGAAAAAAACATAAGACAAGACATAACATGACTGTTAAAATCCATCATTCATTTTAAATCTGTGTTTTCGACTTAGTTCGCGTGGAATTTGAAAAACGCGTTGCCTTAGTGTAGTAGGACTGTACGCGACTGCAATCCATGAGGCCTCGGGTTCGCTTCCCGGACCGGGCAACATTTTATCGGGTCTTTCTGAGAGGAAAAATAGCCTAAGTTACTCCTTTTAGACAGTTATTTGGTAGTTAAATATGATCAATATCCGTCCAGCCGTTTTTAAGATAACCTGGACCTAACAAACAGACAGATAGATAAACAAAAAATATTTAAACTGGTTTTTAGGCATAGGTATCGTGCAAATAACCGTGTGTACATGAAAAAACCTATTATTTTGACATTACAGACACTTCAATTTTATTTTGTATAATAGAATATGGATTTGGAATCCTAGTAATCGATTTATAAATGGATATCCTTAAAAGTATATTATTTTGACCTTCATCAAATAAGTAATTTATTGTATATGATCCACTTGACATCGTTCTTAACTTTTTTTCTATTACAATTTATAAAATTACGGCCTGCTTTATAAAATTATTTACCCTTCGAAACTGCAACACGCGAAGGCAGTGTTTACATGAAGTTTTGGTACCTATGTACTTTTTCGGCTTGACCTGCGTTTACCTATTGCTAGTTTTAACTATGTAAGTGTGTTTTGTATAAAGTAGTTCCCTAATGGCGAAATATTTTTACACCAGTTAAGTAGTTTCATCTTCATGTGAAAAAAATCTTTAAGTTAAGTACTCAAATCAATTAGAATTGAATTAAAGTTTAAAATCTGAAGAATGAAGTATTCTTGTCAGAACGCATGCGTTTTGATTTTTTCGTGTCTCAGTAAACATTGGCCATGTTTTGGAGTCCAGACGTGATTTGTATCTATCAAATTTCATAACTATTATTGTTAATACGATACAGTTTTGTTTTACAGGTAAATGTTGAGTTAAGTATATTCACTTTTCAGTCTTTACAGTTTACTGTACTCCAAGTGACTCAAAGTTTTTAAAATTCATTGATTGATTACCTAAATCTTTTGGTAAGTGAGGTTGTCGCATGATCCAATCCTTTAGTTCTTTCACCAGCTTTTGTATTTCTTCAGGACTCTTCTCCATGTTTACTCCCTGAAAATAATATAACAAGATACTTGTTTAGTAAATCCCAAGGAAAATATTATACTATGCTACGAGGTACCAGCTGATACATCAATAATTTTTAAACATCTACGGAATCCTTACTCAAAGATCTTGCAGTCAAAAAGAATTTGCCAGAAGATGATCATATGTATAGTTAGGTCACATTTATAAATGAGAATGATAGCTATTTTACTACTACTAGACACTAAACATTCGAGCAATCTTATAGCTGGATAGGATCGATATTAAACGGTCGCCGAATCTCCGACCGAACATTTTGTCCATCGCCTTTCTTGTGTATTTTCTTTTATGTACGATTTTTTGAGGGGAAATAATGACAACAGCCTGAGTCTGACTGGCATTACCCATTTTCTGCTAAATGGAGAACAAAAAGATTAAGCTGTATTAATATTAATAGTGACGTGTACTCATTCGTGACAAAATATCTAGGAAATCGTTGTGACAACCGCAATGATGAATGATCTTTTGCAGGAAGCGTAAGTAGTAGATACCGCACGAGTATAAAGCGCTAGTATCTTATTCTGTCGTTGTTTGAAAGATTTCAACTTATTATTAAAAGTATAAATACCCTCGAGTATTTTCAATTTGTATTTTTACCTGACGAAGAGACGATATTAATGATATGGTGGTTCGTAAATCCTTTAACGATTAGAAATAAGCTGATCATATTCGAATGGGTGGTATGTTACATAGAAATAAATATACACACTGAAACATTATTTTAATATATTATAGTTATTTCAAATCTGTATAATATATGTACACAGTTCGATAAATAATATATGTTTACAACAAAGCATCGATATTTTAGCAGTGTCTATTAATGTATACCGAAACTAAAAGTAGAAATATAAAAAAAAATGGTAGCAAAATACCTGTATTTCTTTTTTTCTTACTGAAAACACTAGATCGTTTGTAATGCAGTATTATTACTTTCTCCCTTTAAAAAACGATATTCGTCACGAAAAAAAACGTTGGCAGCCCTACATCGGCCTGACCAAATTGACCGGTTGACCGAGACTGTCAGGGTCAGGCCGTGACCCCGACTACATTGAATCACTCATTAAGTTGGATATCGAGGCTCGCTTAATTACCTACATAATAATAAATATGACTACGTGATTTTACGTTTGTTATCTTGTGTATAGGTTGCCGGTGTATAGGTTGGTACTATTACATTTATAACGGGTTAAACTTGTAACTACTGTAAAGCATTGGCTTGGCATGGATTGTCATACCTTAAAATAAGTGACGTTGTCATCTAAAACTTTTCCATACTTATAATCAATACATAGGTAGATAAGATAGTATATGTTATCAACGTAGTACACAGAAAGCACTTAATAATGAATGATTAATAACATAATAGCGCACAACAAAACAATGCTGTAATACAATTTATTTATTACATAAATATATGGTGATGTTGGATGTTGATGGATTTCTTCTCACAATACACCATTCTGAAAATGGCGGGTATTGATTAATACAGACACAGTATTTGTTTTGCGTTGTTTTTTTTAAATAAACTTACATTCTCCTAAGCAAACTGCTGTTATGGATGGATGGATGGATGAATTTGATACTAGATTTCCCGTATTTCATGCACAATATTTTGGTTTAATTTTTGTTTTATTTTTTGATACAACTCCCGCACTAGGAATAAATCCTGTGTTGCGGGGGACTTTACAAACATACATGAAACGGACACAAAGTACACCCAGACTCAGAACAACAATTTGTGGATCACACAAAGTGTTGTCCCATGTGGGGTCGGAATCCACAACACTCGGCGTAATAGGAAGCGTCGTGGTGACCGCTTAAACCAGTACGCCATCCGTGCAGTCTCAATCTTAAATATCTTGTCGGGGCTGGTTCTGTTCTCCACAGTGGTCGAATTGGAGACAATTTTATCAGATACTCTATCAGTTGTTGAATGTGGAAATGCACGATATATGATTTGATTTGTAAGAAAAATTAGGAAATGATAAATAGACATTTTGTTAAGTCAAGCGAGAGACGTTAGGCACGGATTAAAGACTAACCCAAACGAATAAACAATTTTTTTTCTTTAATTCTATATTAATTTCCATTAGTATCCTATATACTTCCCATTGCCCTAGAATCATGAATTTGGCGAGAAGCCTCTTACAGCACAAGTTAAGGAAAAAAAATTAACTTATAGCTGTATCAGATAAAAAAATATCAATTGCGATTACAATTTTTTTTCGCTCGAAATTCATTGTGAAATGTAGTATTCTTAGAATCATCAACAGCCTTTAGCAGTCCACTGCTGGCCTCTCCTTAGAAAGGTTATTTAATGTAATGCTGCTATTCTTAGAATAGCAGAGTTAAACCATATTTTACCCGTCTTATACGAGAAGTTTGATACATAAATGCCTATTTTTGTCATGAGTGTATCGGCCATATTAAACCGCGTAGTTAAGGCGGTAATGCTGGTGCCATTTGCTCAAATAGACAGGATTTTGGGAATATGTTTAAAGTTAAAGTAAGCAACTGGAGCGTACTCCTTTCTTAAAAGCTCGCAACGCGTTTATGACTCCTGAGTTGCAGACTTTCATGGGCGGCGATGGTCCCTTTCCATCAGGTGACCCGTCTAATCTTCTGCCTCCTCTAACATAAAAAAAAAGGTTATACGGATGGATAAAAGATTTATGCTTTACAATCCTTTCGTATGGCTTTGTTTTTTTAAGGTATAAGTAACCAAACGAGCATACGGGTCACCTGACGGTAAATTCCTACCGCCGTCCATGGACACACGCAGCTCAAGAGTCACAAGTGATTTGCAGCCTTAGAATCCCCTCCACAGAATAAGCGGGAGGACGGGTTTGGGCTCCGGGAACGTCACCCACTCAGTGAAAGCAATGAAAGAGTTGCTTAACACCGGTTTTCTGTGTAGGCTATTTCCCGGAAGCTTTCAAAGTTCATTTTCTATTATTAAAAAAAGTAGACCTTGTAGATGAGCTCGTTTAAATTTAATTGCAATCAAAAACCTTCAAATATGCTTATACAATAAACGGAAATCTTAAACGGATAAAGCTTCAAGAAGGTAGGAAACTCTAAAATTATGCTTGAATAAGAACCACCCCCACTGACTGCGATTTATAAAATCTTATTTCTGACGTTTGTTAGATAACAGGGATATTTACACTAATCAGCTAAGCAATCAATCAAATTAGCTCAGATTTGAACCTAAATGTTCTTCTTTAAGTTTAAAAAGCTTTAATAAATATAATTAAAGAGCTGAATTGCAATCATTTTCACGTGACATCAAATGTTGACGGAGTGTGTATTTAGAGGGCAATTTCAAATAAAGGGTTTTCCAATAAGAGGTGTTATTTTAGTATTCAAAGAAAAATGCAATTTTGTAAGATAAATAATCGGCTGTTTATTTTATAATAAAGAGGAAGGTATGCCGTTAATAATGGAAGATAACATCAGCCAAATGGCTACCACGACCACGCTTACAGGACCATATCCTTTTAATGAAATTTTGCATAACCAAATCGCAAAGTGGCTGCCCTATGTCCTCGATAGCCTCACGAATTCCATCTTTGAGGTCTTGAATCGACGCTGGGCTGTTGGCGTAGACCTTATCTTTCACGTGGCCCCAAAGGAAGAAGTCGCAAGGTGTTAAATCACAAGATCTCGGTGGCCAATTGTGATCACCTCTTCGAGAGATAACACGGTCAGGAAAGTTTTCCCGTAAAAGAGCAATGGTTTCGTTGCTTGTGTGGCACGGAGAGCCGTCTTGTTGAAAGTAAACGTTGTCCAGATCAATACCATCCAACTCCGGCCATAAAAAATCATTAATCATATCTCGATAGCGCAATCCATTCACCGTAAGTGTTGATCCAACCTCATTTTCGAAAAAGTAAGGTCCAATGACCCCGCCGGACCATAAACCGCACCAAATTGTCACACGTTGAGATGGAGAGGCTTCTCAACAATAACTCTTGGGTTTTCCGAGCCCCAGATGCGACAATTTTGCTTGTTGACGTAGCCTCCTAGGTGGAAATGGGCCTCATCAGTCAAGATGATTTTTCGATTGAATTCCGGATCATTTTCATGCATTTCAAGTACCCAATCAGCAAAGACACGACGTTGTTGATGATGGCTTGAGTTCTTGTGTTAACTGAACTTTATAAGCTTTTTTCTTCAACACTTTGGGCTACAGCAGCAATATTCTCAATTGTTCTTGAGCGACGTGCACGGGTTTTATTCTTCACATCACTAACTTGTCCCAACAGCTCGAATTTTTCCACCCATTTCTGTATTGCGGTCCGACAAGGTGCTTCACGACGACCAAAAAATGCTTTAGTTTTGCGAACTGTGACTGCAAGATTTTCACCATTTTTGTAGTGAATTTTAATAATTTCAATGCGTTGTTGAAGTGTGTATCATTCCATTTTTAGTAATGGCGTAGTTTCTACTTGTCAAATGTCAAAAAATAAAAGCTTCAAAAGTGACAGCTACCGAAATACCGGGTGATTCAAAATAACACCTCTTGTTGGAAAACCCTTATATAACTTGATTCTGTCGATTTTATCTATAATTTACTTTTCTTTCTGCGTTAAAACCATGGCTTACAATAAAAAAGCAGTTACGAAATGTCAGCACGCCTACTTATTTTACTATCGATAGTGGCCCTAATACTTATTTCGTTCTGGGAGGTTGACTCTACTTTATACTCAAAATAAATATATATTAATGCAAAAAATTAAACACGCTAGACGACATTGAAGTTAGCCGAATACGACTATAACGTAGAATATAATGTATGTCAACTAAATTAATTTAAATTGACCGACTGGTTCTGAGCAGGTTCTGTACTTAGTTGATGCCGATTAACTGGTTTTTGAGGATGATGGTAAGTCTGATTGTGTGGTTAATGGAGGTGATGTAATAACTGTGCAGCTATTTTGTAAGTAATTGTAAAGTCACAA